ACCCCCCGCCGCGCCGCAACATACACAGTGGTTATTTCTTCCAAGGCTATCTTGTGGTTAACTGCTGGCCTGAGCTGCCTCCTGGGTCTGGAATGGCACTTCCCACTTCAGGCGTCAGGCCACAGGGGCTATGCCCAGTCTTAGTCCTTGCTCCCAGAGCTTCATTTTTCTCTCAGCAGTAAAAGAGGAAGGACAACATCTGCCATGTATGGTGGTATTCTAATTGTACTGAAATGTGATTTTAATTGTATGTTAATAAATAAAGTTGCCCGGGGGTCAGAGCTATTAGAGCCATAGAAAGAGTGTGGCAGTGGTGGTGCACGCCTTTGATCCCATAGATCTCTGTGAGTTCAAGGCCACATTGGAAAAGGCCAGGCTTGGTGACTCACGCCTTTAATCCCAGGAAGCAAGCCTTTAATCCTAGGGAGTGATGGTAGAAAGCAGAAAGGTATATAAGGCGTGAGGACCAGAAACTAGAAGCATTTGGCTGGTTAAGCTTTCAGGCTTTGAAGCAGCACAGTTCAGCTGGGATTCATTCTGGATGAGGACTCAGAGACTTCCAGTCTGAGGAAACAGGACCAACTAAGGAACTGGCGAGGTGAGATAGCTGTGGCTTGTTCTGTCTCTCTGACCTTCCAGTATTCACCCCAATAACTGGCCTCAGGTTTGATTTTATTAATAAGAACTTTTAAGATTCATGCTACAGCCATGTTTTCAGTTCATCAATTCATGGAAACATGAACAGACATCAAAGGAGAGTGGTCCTGGACCAGTGGGAGTCAGCAATGCTGCTCATGACACTTTGGGGGATGTTGTTTACTGTGTCGGCTGCCTCAAGGTGGGACAAAATAAATAAAGAGTTGAGTTGGGTGTTTTGGAGTGGGGGAATGCTGCCAATGATGTCCACTCTCCTGTCAGGAGAGGTGACGGACGCCAATGAAGCGCTCCAAGAAAATCTAGGGCTTGTCCACAGATCTTGTTATGAAGATGGTTGGCTGGTAAAGATGAGTGACCCTCTAGAGTTGGACGAATTAACAGTGAAGAGGCATATGAGAAATTTGTGAAGTCCATGAGGAGTGACCATGGCACCTCCCACTTCCATCCCCAAATAAAAGTGGGAAGTAACCTGTGATAGCATGGGTGTCTTAAATTAGAGAAGACTTGAAATAACTTTTAGCAATACCAATGGATAAGATACTATTCTCAACAGTGCTACTGAAGAAAGTCCCCAACTCCCCAATGGATGCAGATAAACATAATGTACATATTTTTGTAAGACCCTAGACTAGGGGCTAAGCCCTGGTGTGTAGAATTCATGAGATTATCTATGATTAAAATTTATGAGGCTGAGTTTGATGAGGAACCATCCTTTAATCCCAGCATTCCAACAGGCAGATCTCTGTTACTTTGAGGCTAGTCTGGTCTACATAGCAAGTTCCAGGCCAGCAAGAGTTATGTGGTGAGACCCTACCAAAAAAAAGAGTGACTTATTTCAGGATAACAATGTTGTCTCATATAATATTATAACTCACCCATATCTATCCCTGAGTCTTTTTGTTTTATTGTTTTGTTGAGACAGGGTTTCTCTGTGTAGCCCTGGCTGTCCTCAAACTCACTCTGTAGACCAGGCTGGCTTCGAACTCACAGAGATCTACCTGCCTCTGCCTCCCAAGTGCTGGGATGTGTGTGCCACCACCGCCCAGCTATCCTTGGATCTTGGTCCAAAGACTTAATGTTCCTTCCCGTTAGAAATGCCTGGAGCACAGGGAAATGTTGTACAATGTCAGATGAAGGACAGTACTGTCTTCATTTCACCTTGAGCTGCATTGGCTGCTGTTGTTTTTCCACAGTGAAGCAGGGACCTTTGCAGCTTCGTGAAAAACAAACAAAACATTCATCCACTTAAAAGAGAGAGAGGAGAGAGGGAGAGCGGGAGGGGAGAGGAGGGAGGGGAGGGAGGGGGAGGGAGGGAGAGAGAGAGGAGATGCACAGCGAACTCGGTGCTCAGCGGCTGCCACACTGTCAGGAGGATGTATTTCTTTCCCTTTTCCCACTTCACCGAAGTGTTTTTGGGTTCTACAGACTGACCTGCAAAACTTTCCAGGTCCTTGACCCCTGCCAGGTTTATGTGATGGCCTCCCGCTTCTTAAAGAAATGGTTTATCTTACGCGTATAAATGTTTGCCGGCAGGTGTGGATGTACCACTTGCATGCCTGGTGCCTAGAAGTCCAGAGGAGGACAACCGTCTGGAGGGACGGGTGGTGCTGAGCCACCTGATGTGGGTGCCGCGAACAGAACTTGGTCCTCGGTTGGACCATCTTTCCAGGCGCCCCGCCACTGCCCCCTTTGAAATAGGGGAACCCTCTTAGGGGAGGCCAGTTTGGAACTCACAGTGCAGCTCAGGTGGGCCTCCAAACTGCAGCGATCCTTCTGCCTCAGTCTCCTCAGTGCTGCGGTGACACTTCCAGCTTGGTTGTCTTGCCCTTTCAGTCATCCGAAGGAATAGCCTACGCCGAGGCAGCTCCAGCCTGGGGCTCATGGGCTCCACTTACCGGGTCGTAACCTCTAGGGCCTACGCCTATCTGCTTGGAGAAAAGGTGCTGCGTGTTCACCTCCAAGGACTTGCTTTTGCCTCCGACCGTCGAGTGTCTGCACGCAGAACCTGCTTCCAACCTCTGTCTCCCCTGGAGACGCCCCCAAGTCCCCAGGACCGAGGGCGACCCGTCTCCATCCATCCCCACAGCCCCGACGCCAGCCGCGATCCTAATCTCTGCGCATGCTCACACCCGAGTCTCCGATTGGTCGCCTAGGAGCCTGTTTGTTTTCCCAGGATGCTCTGCGCTGCTGTCATGGTTACCCTCGTGTGCCTGTATCCTCACAGGGGACGCTAGTCCTGTGGGTGTCTTGACGGTGCCCGTGGCCACCAGACGCCGGCGACCTTGGCCCCTCCTCCTCCTTCTGCTTCCTCCTCCCCCGAGGGACCCTCGCGGGACCCCGAGTTGGGTGCAGTGATGCCGGGGGTGACGTGGACTCCGGAGCGGGCGCTGCTGAGGGGCTTCTCCACGGAGGCGGAGCGGCGGCTGTGCACGCAGGAGGGGCGCTGTGGCCCAGGTGGGGGCTGTGAGGACGGGGATGCCGGCCCTGGGTACGGAGAGGGGGCAGGAGGGGGCTGTGAGGACGGGGATGCCGGCCCTGGGTACGGAGAGGGGGCAGGAGGGGGCGGTGTTGTTCGGTGGTCTGAGATCTGGTGGTCTGGGAAAGTTCCCGAGAGACAGACTTGAGCTGATTTTCTTCCTTTAGGACTGACATGTAAGAGAGAGTTCGTCAGGGAAAAAAAAAATCGGGGTTGTGAAAGTATTGAGGCAGGTATGAGCTGGGGAGTATGAGGGAGTCACGAGAGATCCTGTGTGTTTGCATTGGCCTCCTGGGGGAGAATATCGAAGGTCGGACCTCGGCAACGGAAACTTTTCTGTGTCGGTTGGAATCTTTGTGAACAATTTCCCAAAGAAGGGTACTACGCCTATTACTACTACTACTACTACTACTATTATTATTTCTGTGTGACCTCCACTCTGCTGCTCATAGTCATTGTAGGTATCCCGTAATTCTAGGAGGGGTGATGTTGGTAGAGTGAGAAGGATTTGCTCAAGACTTAGTGATGACTGTATAGCCAGCATTCTCTGTCTACAACGTTTTGTATATTAAAATATCTATGTGATGGAGTTTATGTGTATGGATATCCACTTTTACCTCTTCCCCTTCTAAGGCTACCAGTCTTCAACCATGGGGGCTCCACTTGCATAATTTTCTGCCTATGCCCCCTGAAAGGCCCCACTTTTAAACACCATAGTTGAAGTCAGGCTAATGGTGCTCATGTGCCCTCCTAGCATTTGGATGGTGGCGGCAGTAGGATTCAGAAGTTCAAGACCAGCTTTGACTACATAGCAAATTTAAGGCCAGACTGGGCTACATGAGACCTGCCTCGAAAATATGAAATAATAAAATAATAAACATTGTAGTTGAATTAAGATCCTACTCTCCTGATGCTTCCCCTTCAGGGACACACTGACATCATATCTAAATGACAGGACTGCTAAAGGTCCTTGTCAGGGCTGGAGGCAGCACAATGGTGGGGTACTGAGTTCAGTACCCAGCACCCATATTGTGTGGTTCACAAACATGTTAACTGCAGATCACCTCTAGCCCCCTCACTGTGGAACCTGCACTCATACACACATTTAAGATATTAATAAACACGAATCTTGAAAGGTTCGTGTTAAAGTGCACAAAAATGTTTTAAGAACCCAAAGGGATATCTGATTCCTAATTCTTCACCAGGACTCCAGACTGGTATACAACTAGGACCTGCCACATAGCATGTCCTCAATGTACAAGTCAGAGTTCTGTATAATTAAAATCCTCGTAGAAATTGAGTAGTGCTTCATAAGGCACGCACACCGTTATTTAACATTTTCTTTTTTAGTAGACTCCCCAAGAATATTAAATGCACTGCCCCCATAGACAGAAAATACTGTGGGGGGAAAAGACTTTGTCTTCTGAAATGGTGTCTACCAGTCAGTGGTTCATTAGTATTCCTATATGAAAAGAATAATTTTGATCACATGAATTGATCACATCAATATTGTTTGAATGTGTTGACTTGGTAAGATGGTGTGGTGATACATGGCTACTCTAAACTTGGCAGTGAGATTGTAGATCCTCTAAGGCCACTGCTTAGTGTGATGTGTGTCAGGTCAACAGCAACTAGGAAATATGGAGACTTGTGAAACCAAGCGTCTCAAAGTCCCTGAGAGTTTCCACTTCAACTATCCCAACTCTCTCAGATTCCACTTGACTCTGTATTCTAACCTGCAGTTTGAAATTTATGGTCATAGACCCATTCCAAACTTATGACAGTGACCGGCTCCAAAGAAAATGTGAGTCAGGACAAGTCATTTTAGAAGACCTTTGAAACTTTACCTCGCCACTCCTTCCTTAGTGACGAGTTTGTCTAGCTGGACCCTAGAAGATTCATAGATGGATTCTCCCCTGAGCTTTGGCTATTAGAGCTCAGAGCAAGGTCAGCCACAGGGAAGGGCATCAGCTGGGACCTGAGTGTGCACTGCTTTACCTGGCACTGCCTATTGTGATGTCATGGAATCTCAGTCTAGAGACAGAAACTCTGTAGTGGAGGGGGCATAGGCTTGAGAAATGTCCCTAATATGGGGGCTCGCTTTCCCACTGCCGACACATCTCAGCCTTATGCTACTTGGTTTCTTGGTTTGTGGAATATGGGTTGTTTTCTAGGTATCAGAGGTAGACACAGGTGGCAGCCAAGACAGAGGTACGTGATAGCCACTCTCTCGAAACTCACTCTCTCCATGCTGAAACCCTATAGGTTTGTCTAAATGCCCATCCTCTGGGCCGTAGGAAGAACTGGATGGAGGGGAGAGGGGGGTTGAGACAGCATTGATAGATGGCTTCCTCTTTTATTTTTCCTTCCTTGTTTTGGTTTTCTGAGACAAGGTTCCTCTGTGTATCCCTGGCTCTCCTGACTCACTCTGTATACCAAGCTGGCCTTGAACTCACAGAGATCTGCCTGCCTCTGCCTCCCAAGTTCTAGGATTAAGGGCATGAGCCACCACTGCCCACCTTGCTTTTCTCTTAATTCACTTCAAGAAGCCTTAGGATGGGCATGATGGTGCACACCTTTAATCCCAACACTTGGGAGGGAGAGGCAGGAGGATGTCTCGGTGTTCAAGGACAGCCTGGTCTACTTGGTGTGTTCCAGGACAGCCAGGAATACACAGGGAGACTCTGTCTTAAAAAACCAAGAAGAAGAGAAAGAGGGAAGAAGAAGAGGAGGAGGAGAAGGAGAAGAAGGAGGAGGAGGAGGAAGAGGAAGAAGGAAAGTAATAGTAATGGTAGCTTTAGGATCTAGTCTTAAATAGACACTGAGGCAGAATGTTCTAGATACTGAGAAAGTGCTGTTTAGGAGCTCAAGCTGAAGTGAGACATTCAGATGACATAACTTTGGGGGAAAAGAATGTGGTAAGAGTGGTGTAGATATTGTCTATCACATGGGATGGGAGGCAGATGGTAGAGTGCGTTTGTTTTATTAAGAAAGACTTAAATCATATCACGAGACAAAGAACATCTTAGGAAGTGAATTGCAAGTGACACTTTGCTGTGGGATTTTTATTTCTAGCAGGAGAAGAATTGTTTGAGTATGTGGTGCACATGTTTAATGTTAGTAGGTCATGCCTCTTCTGAGTTTTCGATCATGTGAGCAGACCATGAGTGACTGGCTCCCCCACAGTCCTACCATCTTGCCCAGACTTGGCATATGCACCTCTTTTATTTTAGTGATTCCAGTGAGTATGTGGTATTGCATTGTGATTTCATGTGCACCCACACTATGGGAGCCCATTCTCAGGTTCCTCGTGGCTTTACCCAGCATGTCCGCATAGAGGATGATCAGGACCTCGGGCCTGAGTGCAGGTGTCTGAGATGGTCTGCACTTGGCTGTGCTGGGGAGGAGGTCTTTTGTTCCACCCCTTAGCGTCTCTATAAATATCCTGGGGCAGAGACAGTCAGGGCCCATTGGAAAAGATTCCAGGCCCTCTCGAGGCTATCCTTTATTTTCTATCTGTTTATCTCCGAAATAAATCCTATCTAATATTTCCTGCTGCTCACACTCAAGAAAACTCTGGGGAACTGTAGGGTTGGTGGGTAAACGCCCCACACCACACACACACACACATCATAACTAATAACACTGAGAAATGTCTCAGGTTTATTCGCCATTTGGAAATTCTCTCTTGTAAACTGCCTATTCAAGTCATTTGAGCAGTGTGTGTGTGTGTGTGTGTGTGTGTGTGTGTGTGTGTGTGTGTGTGTTAGTAAGGATCAAATTCAGGTCATTGCTCATGCTAGGCAAAGCACTCTATCACTGAGCTACATCTCTGGTCCATTTTTTCCTTAATTTTTTTTTTTTGTTTGTTTGTTTTAGGTTTTTTTTTTCTTTCCATTTTTCAAGACAGTTTGTTTCTGTAATCCTAGATGTTCTGGAACTCTCCCTGTAGACCAGGCTGGCCTCAAACTCACAAAAATCCACCTGTCTCTCCTTCCCAAGTGCTGGGATTGAAGGCTTGTGCCACCACGGCCCAGCTTTCCTTGATTTTTATTAAGGATAATTTTAGGCAAATCAAAGGCACACAGAATTGGTAAATGAACCTAGTCTGAACAAGACCCTACATTCAATCCTTAGTATGAGAAGAAAATAAAAGGTGGTCTGATGAATCTTCATAGTCCTGTCACTCAACCCTTGCTACATCATTTTTTGAAGCAAATCAGAAATAATTTTATGGTAAATGTTTTAGTATGTATATTTTGAGATCCTGCCTCATTCCACAAAGAAAAATAAAGAAAAACGGGTTAATCACAATATCATTATTACACCTAAAAATGTAACAATAATATCTGAATAATTTCTTAATACCTCAAATACCCACCAGCATTTAAATTCCAATAGTCACGCAGTCACTTACTGGCATAAATTATTACTTAGCTCAACTCAGTATTGAATGTTGAGACTGAACAATATATTTCTTTATTCTAATCTAGAGTCTCTCTTTTCTTTTATTAGTTTCATTTATGTATTGGATAAAAGGAACATTTGTCTAGATTTCACAACTAACATTTTGTTGATCAAATATCCGTGTGGTGTAGCCATGTCCATATAGGCAAGACTAAATGGACTTAGTGGGTTATAAAAAAAGAGCATGACATAGTTCATAGGTAACGATAATCATCAGGAGGCACATAATGTGTGATTTGGCTAGGCATTTTATTTTTATCTATCTATATCATCATCTATATCTATCTCTCTGTCTATCATGTATCTATATCTATATCTGTATCTATCTGTCTATCTATCATCTATCTATCTATCTATCTATCTATCTATCTATCTATCTATCTATCTATCTATCGTTTATTTACTTATTTTTAGTTAGTGCTAAGGATCAAATCCAGGGTCTTGTGCTCTTGGCAAGCAGTCTACCACCAAACTACATCCCCAGGCCTGGA